ATCCTTTTAAAATCTAGTGGTCTTAAAATTTTAATATCATGTTTATTTTATCTTAAAGTGTTATTTAAAAATGTTCAAAACCAATTCAAACCAAATCAAACTAACATGAATTGACCAAAACTAATTATAAATTAAGTTTTCTTTGATTTTTCTTTTGGCAAAATCAATTAGGTTGGTTTGGTTTAGTTTTTTATTTATGAAAACTTGAAACAAACTGAATCAAGCTTTATTATGTTTATTATATATATATATATATATATATTTTAATAAATTTGACTGATTTTTTTTCCTTTTCCAAGTTTTCTTATTTGTAAATAATTAGAAAAAATATATTGCAATTAGCTAAATGTTATCTAAAATTGTTTCTAATAATTTTTTAATTTTATAATCAAGATAATATATTATTTTTAATGGTTAAATATGCCAATTAATTGTTAAAAAATATTCTTTAATGTTCAATAGTTTTTTTAATTTCTAATAGTAATTAATAGTTAAAATTATCATTGAACATGAACATATGTTGATAATTATGAAAAATATCTTATAAAAAAGTTTAAGTTTGATTAAAACTTTAAATCAAATTGAACAAAACTATTAAAAAATCAAATCAAATCAATTAGATAAAAAAATTAAATAAGTCTCAAACTCTAGTAAATTGATTAATTTTGTTGGATTTTTTTTTTACTCAAAATCACATTAACCAAACTAAAGTGGTTCTATTAACTCCCTTAATTTTTTTTTCTTTTTAAGTTGAGTTTTACATCTCTCAGCGCTTTTCATTGGATGGTGTTTGCACTATTGCGTGGGGTGCAGTGTGCCTGCCGCCATGTCACTATCAAGTACACAATCTACAAAAGGAAATAAAACGAAAAAGTTGCCCCCCTTCATAAGGAGTAATTATCCTTCTTTCATGTCAACCCAAAAAAAAAAAAAAAAAAAAATCCTTCCTTCATGTCACCCAAAAAAAATAATAATCCTTCTTTCACTAAAAAGTTCGTTTCCTTCCCCTTCCACACCACATGCCTGCCTCCTCTCTCCCCCCCCCTCTCTCTCTGTTTGTTCGCTCTTGGACAATTTGTGGGTGGGGCTCATCTTCATCACACCCTTGCCTAAGCTTACTTTTCAGCTAGGGTTGATTCCTGATTTTTGGCCGGTAAGCATCATCCTCTTTCTTGCAATCTTGCATCTCCATTTTTAGACAACTAATTTCCTCCTGTAATTTTCTTTTCCGGTAAAATTCTCTTTCTCAGCCCTTCTCTTCATATTCTATTTCTTCTTGTTTAGTCCTGAACATTTTGGTTTTCACAGTAAGATTCATCAGCTTGTTCTGATTGAAAGCCCTCTTTGATCTTCAAGGTTTCTCCTCAATTCTTTTCTCAAGATTAGTTTTCCGTATTGCTCAATGGATCTGAGATATTGATTTTCTACTTCTATTTGGGAGAGACTGAGCCACCGCATTACCTTTTACTGATTGGACTCAATGGATCTGAGATATTGATTTTCTACTTCTATTTGGGAGAGAATGAGCCACCGCATTTCCTTTTACTGATTGGACACTAATATTCCTTTTATTTTTTTGTTACAAAATATTTAGTAATTTTATTTTCTGGAGAGTCTGCATTCTTTTCCTGATTTTTGGGTCTATTTTTGCTTAATCAGGAAATGACAAGACAGAAGATAGAAATAAAGAAGATCGATAACATAACAGCGAGGCAAGTAACGTCTTCAAAGAGAAGAAGAGGGCTATTCAAGAAGGCTCATGAACTTGCTACTCTCTGTGATGCTGAGATTGCTCTCATAGTCTTTTCTGCTACTGGCAAGCTCTTTGAATATGGTAGCTCAAGGTCTCTCCTTCTCTCTTCTTTTAGTTTCCTTTTCATCACCTTGATGATATACAGTTGAATGCTTTTTCCAGGCAATTATTTGTTTAATTTTCATTCGTATCTGCAGCATTCGTACATCGTGTACTTGTGCTTATTATTTTAAATTTTATTTTAGGCTCGTTAATCTAGACTAACAGGAGATTGACTGCGAACGTGCTTGCTAGAGAATCTTTTCAGCGTTAATATCTGTAAAACACGGTTTGCAATCCTCATGATGGATTTAATTTGTAGCTCTCTCTTTTGAGAAAATAATCACCACCACCATCATCTTGGCTGACTTGCTTGTTTTGAGAACCCACCCTATTCAGTTCTTTTGATTAATTGTAACCTTGACTCTGAATAAGACAGACTTTTCAATACTCTGAACCTAATGTTCTGGCATGATCCAATATAAATGTATCTCTCTCTCTCTCTCTTTTTTCCATCATAACGGAGGAAAGTGACTTTAAAAACTAATCATTTATTGTTTTGATATGTAACTGCAAAGATAATGCCAACGTGATGTCATGTATGTTATAGTTAATTCAGTCCAGCATGCCCGTCTGTGTGCATCTTCGTTGTCACATAAATAAATGCAAGTATATTAATTAGCCACTGGACAAGAGGATTTTTTATTTTGAATGAGACCTTTTGACCATTTAAGAAAAAGAATCCTTTAGCGTTAAGCTTGCTTGAGAAAAAGATGGTGCTTAGTGTAATATCTGATTCACAAACATGATTAGTTTTCGGAAGAGAAAGCTCTTTCTGGATGTTCATTTAGACATAATAATGGCATTATACTCAACGCATTGATATAGTAATCTCTGACATCACAGTATATTTGTGAACTTTAAATTTCTATATTCGCATGTGTATTTGAGACATTTGTCATGCCCACACATGCATAAGTACTAAAACTTGCTTTGGATGAAATCTATCCCGATTGTCAATTTTGTCGTTTTTGCTTAGTACGTTTAATAAATTTTTGAAGAAGTTTAGATTAGTAACAACCGAGGTGCATAAAAAAAGTGAGCGAAGTTCAACTTATTTAAGAAGGGAAGCAAAATTCTGAAACTCCTTTGTTAGATCTGGAAAATTATCCCAAATTTTTGTTTATGATGTCAAAATTAAAACGCGCCTTTGAATTATATATAGGAGATCTATTAATTTTCCCATTCCAAGAGTTATAATAGTCCGATTCAATATACTGAATTTTGAAGTTTTTGTTCTTGGATACGATACTCTTCATTTCTGCAGACTATCTTTGAAAATTACCATCATTAAATTGATTAGAAACACTGGAAATTCATTGATTAACGAAACTCTTTATAGTTATACCTTTTACACATCTTAAATCCATTAATTGTAATCATGAATGAGTTTGTGTCAGGAGATATTTTAATCAAAACGTAAGTCACTGTATAGGGTAGTGTTTGGGTCTTTCCCCCCCTCTATTCATTGAGGCCGGGAAAAAAAAAAATACTAGAATATTTCCACCATTATATCATAAATTAAAGACGCAATTAATGCAAGGTATTTACATCATTTCTCTGCATAACTGGTTTAAGGAGTTGCCATTCTCTATATCATTTGAACTTGATTAATCTTTGATGAAGTCGGATTCAATATTTTTTATATAGGTCACATATGGGTTGAGAGTTTAAGATGAAGGGCGAGAATATTTTATAAATAAATCCGTTAAGAACTTGTTTATGCATTTTAACAAGTTAAATGAAACTATTGAGTTGTGATCATCAAGCATAGAATTATACATGAATGTGATCCCTTAAGCATTACTTTCTTGTAGTGCAGGTAGCATATAATTTGTTCATGTACTTTTGAAACTATTGAGTTGCTTGTTTGTTTCTTGTTTTTCTATTTAGTGTTTTTTAGGACATTAGAGGATGGGAGGATTTATTAGAACAGAACTTCTCGTAGTTCTACATTGAGTAAGAGTTTAAGGGGACAAGTAAAAGCATCCTGAAATTAGCTAAAGAGTAATGTAATTTTAGTTGCATTTTTGAGGCTTGCATTTGATTGCATAATTACTGCTTTTAACGTACAACTTTTATTTTTGCTGCTCATTTAATTTTAGTCACGCAAAATTTTACAATATGCTCATCACTGCAGAGTTTAAAGAAGCTTGAATTTGAAATGATTGTGCTTATACCGGAACTTAATGAATATAGAATGATTCAAGCGGCTGGATAATATATATATATATATTTACGTACGTACGTATGTATGAATGTTATACTGTGTTATTCTCTTGAAGAACCTTAAATACTAACAGTATACTGGTAGGTGTAAGATTTCATGAACCTGCTGTGTTTTCGGTTCTTATATTGTGCAGCAGGTTATTAAAAGGCGTGATCAGCACTCAGAAATTGAAAGATTATACCATTCATCCATTTTGGTGAGATCAATATGCATAATTGTTTTTAATTACATTTTTTTCTCAATATTTTCACTCCATTTACTGCTTTAAATAATATAAACGAGCACGAGTCTCTTGCATTACACTTAATCTAAAAATGAGTTGCCCTTCATAGTGCAGCATATAAGAGCTTTTCTATTATATTTATGTAAAAATTGTTTCTGTCGAATTGTCCTGGCTAGTATATTAGTTCCGTTCTTTAGGATTTCACAAAACTTACAGCTTCTCAAGTTTCTTGATTGTTTGTTTAATTACCTTGATTTTTTCTCTTTTCCAAGTAATACAATAAATTTATTTATAAAGGAGCAGCAATAATGATGAAATATTTGGAATTCGATGAGATGCATAAGCTGCTAACTTAGCTATAGTGAAATGAGAATTCACTTCTAATTATTCATTATTTTCAGTGCAATGCTCAATTATTTAAATAAACAAATTCCTAAGCTGTGACATTCAAATGATTGTTCATAGGCCGTGCCAGGTTTTACCCTATTAAAAAAAAAAAAGCTTCAATTTCCACAACAATGATAAGTCTTTTTCCACTAGGTGGGGTTGGTTATATAGATTATATGACACCTTTATGTTTTATCATCAACCAAGCTTTTATGAATGTTATTTAGTCCATAAGTATTAAAACTACATCATATCTAGCTTTTATGTACCCTCATTTCTCTTAAAATGCTACTTGTTTTATATGTGCAGAGAATCCACTTGATGGAAGAGAATCAGCGATTAAAATAGGTAATCAACATTTTGAAGTATTTGCATTTTAAATCGTTAATGTCTGTCATTTCCAATGTTTATAAAATTAGACTGGCTGTTGAACTGGTTGATATATTGATTTAAAGTTTATCGTCCTGTTGATGGTTTAACCGCTGTCCAATGAGTCATAATTGAATTAGTTTATTTAAATTATACATCCTCCGTCACTATTTAATTGTCCTCCTAGGAAAAAATCTATGTGCAATGTAAGAATTATTTTTTTTATTCCAGGTTTGTCCTCCATTTAACAGGGGTATTGTTGAAAACAAATAATAATTATACCTCAAAATTTGGACCAGGACATATTTAGGGGCAAAATGAAAATGCAAATCAGGACAAGTAAAGGGAGATGGAGGAAATATACATGCATATATATTATATGGGATAAAAGAGAAAATTTGGCTTTAAACTATAGGCCCAAGAGTGTTTGGGATCTTAAATTTATTTTTGGTGCAATGTCCTCCTTCAAATTTTTGAAACAATGCAATGTATCTCTTATCATTAATAAAAGTTAATTTTAACCGGTCATTATTTGAGCAATAAATTACAGAAAATGATCTCATAAATTGCAAAAAAAAAGGACCAATAAATTTTTTTGTCATTTTCTTTAATTTTTTAGGTTATTGTTTGTAATTTTTGAACTCTTCACTATAATTTTTTTGGGTCCGTTTTGTCTGAAAATGACAGTGTTTCTTGACATGAGGAAAAAGGCTCCGTTAGCAGCAGTGATTAATTTCCTTGGAATATGACTTTTTTGTTTTCTGTCCGTGACACATTTCATGTTGACAAAGAGGGAAATAAAAGACGGCATCATTGGGGGAAAACAAAATGAAAGAAACGAATGGTGCTGAAGTGTGATTGATAGAAGGCTGAGGATGTATATGACATAAATCAGCATCTCATAGAAGAACCAGGAATCTTTTAGGAGGGATTGACAATTTTTGATTGATCATGTTTTTAGACAAATAAATTGTTGTACTGATTGGCTAATCTATCAAACAAAAATTGAAGGAGAATATTGCATCATAAACGAGTTTAAGGTCCCAAATATTCTTGGATCCACATCACTGGTTCTCAGATTACTTAGTTTTAAATAAGAGTCTTATTAAAGATGGAAAATGTGTATGTTTAGGTGAGGAGTGTTTCACAAGAACAAGGTCAGTCATCTGAGTCAGCCAACGTTGGCAGCATATTTGACCCTCCACATGACGATGATAGTTCAGACAATTCTCTCAGATTGGGGTTAGTATATATAACTTGTTTAACTGTCCATTCTTGAGTTTTCTGATAATCAAGCATGGAATTTGTCGTTAATTTTTCATGATATTGCTGATAGAGTAATACACTTGGTACTACATGATGGCTTGGTTTTATAGAAATACAACAAAGTACATTTTAGCACTCAGATCTTCAACAGTTTGGAGGACAATTGAAGTTACAGGTTAACAAATGAATTTATCTTTGTCTTTTATATTATCAAATAGAGTATGGCATGTGTTAATCAATAAGCAATGGGGAAATTAAAGTGCATTTTTCCCTTAAGTAGTATTTGAATTGATGGATTTGAATTTAAATTTTACATTTAAAATCCTTTGCTTGGATGGTATAAAAAATTTTAAAGGTAAAAGAGAGATGAGTTGAGATTTGAAATAGAAATAGAAGATTGAAAGTTGTGAGCTTACCTTTATTCTTCAATTGGTGAGAAATAAGAACAAGCAATGAGAGGAAAGAGAAGAGTAACAAATGCACTGATAGTGAAGATATTAGAAATTAAAGAGAATTTGAAATTACAAAAAATTTAAAATGAAAACATGGATTTAGACTTGGATTAAATCTAAATCTATAAACTTTTATATATCCAATTGAAGAATTTGGTTAAATACAAACCTTAATTCAAATCCTCATGCATTCAAGCATAGCATAAAAGTATTTTCATGAGTGACAGGGCAACCTAAAGAGAATTGTAGAGCACTGTAGTATATAATCTCTTGATGTACGCTAATGGTTGGTTAACCGTTAACCATCAAAATTTAAGATTGCATTGATTTTGAAATATTACTTGCCACATGTATCCCATATTGCTTCTTTGAGAATACTTTAAGGATAAAACACACTTTAACTCAATGTGTGGCTAGCAAGAACCAGTTGTACTGTAAATTATAGTTTTCTAGGGTTTCTAGTCTATTACAAGTTGTGCACAGTTTTTCGTTTCAAAGTGTATTTAGTATATATGCATCTTTGCATAAATCAAATGTGAGACTGAATTTATTTAGTGTGTGTGTGTGAAAGGATCAGATGGATACGTGGCATGCAAATTCTTAAAGATTAACTTCAGTTTATTTACTGTCAGTGTTGCAAATTGTCTTTATTTAAATAAACTAAAGATGTGATGCACTATAAGACAGAGCCAAATACTCTGAGGTTTTCACTTTTTAGGGGAAATTTAACCGCTGTGGGAGTTTTTTTTTTCCCTGTTATTTCAAAATTTAAGTTTGCTTAATCCATATAGTTTTTGATTTGATAAATTGAACAATGAATATATATATATATATATATATATCCGATGGTGTTGTATGCTTGTATTTAAAAATTATGCATGATCATCCTTTTCACAGATTAGAGTACTAATTAAGAGATTGTTTACAATTTAATCCAATTGGTCAAATGCCAAGTCATATATGCACAAATGGGCCATGTCAACACCCGCTACAGTGATGGCTGCTTGATATGGTCATGATCATCCATATTCTATACAAAATTAAAATTATATTTATTACCGTTTATTCAATATTTACTGAAGTGATAACAATAAAAAATTAATATGGATTTCTATTTTTCAGATTGTTATTTACATGCTGAATGAAGTTAAATTCTCCCATGCAATTCACATACAACATTTAATTAGAGACCTTAACTGTTATATGATTATTTTATGAGTATTTCATATTGGATATTATTAAGGTAGCTTGACGCAGCCTGAGTTCAATTGAGTGCAGTTTTTCTAATGTATTTTTAATCCAGAAGGTTTGAACACATGAACTTGCATGTTTAATAAGAGAATCATGTTCTTTTTATTCAACTCATTCTTTGTTGTCATTAACAAATGTTTAATTTGTTGCCATAAGAATTAAGCAGAAAGCATTTTATACAACTTTTAGTAACTAGATTGACTTTTTATACATGCATCCCAAAATTTTTGAGAAGCCAAAAACCATTATTGTTTACAATTTTTTTACAAGTACTAGGTTTCATAAAAAAAATATAATAACCATAAAAAATTCTCATAATCATAAAATTATTTTGAAGTGATGTGTCCTTCATTAAAGTTGTAAATTGGATAAATGTCCATGAATAAGTTACCAAAAAGCATACTTCTTTTGGTCTAAAATATAAATATTTTTTAATAATAATTCAAAAATCTAATAAAATTCTTATTCTGATGAAAATATATACTGCTTTTTTTTATTACTTCTAGTTTTAATTTATGATACATGAAAAGAAGTTTATGAATGCAAAAACACATGAATTTAGATTAATAAATACAAGAGCTAAAATGAAAAAAAAAAGTTACAAGTATCAAGTTACTTATTTTTTTCAATCAAAATTAATGAAAGAAAATGCTTGTATTTTGGATAAGAAGGAACAAATATGAAGATTTTTAAGTATAAAAAAATAATCTTATGAAGATTTCATTAAAATATCCTCATTTTCATTAATTTTTAATATCTACGTTTAAAAGTGGATTGTTTAAAAAGAAGAGTACAGTGATTAATAAAAAAATATTCAGGCAAAAAAATAAAAAAGTTTAAGAAAGGGGGAATTTCATTTAAGATTATCTGACTGCATCCAATAAAAAAGGGAAGACCCTTTAATTTTGAAAATTCACTTCAAACTAGAAATAATGAAGTGAAATTAAAATGTAAAATAAAATTACCCCATCACCTCCCATCCATTTTGATTCTTTACTGAAATAGTTCATTTTTTTTACATGAAGTTGTTTATTAGCTTATATGAAGTTATTCAATAATGACACAAACAACTCCCGCAAGTCCATAAATAACTTGATGAAAGAAAATGAATAATTCATTTTATTGTGATTACAACAATTGGAATGAAATTAAGATTTATTAATGACACAAATAATTTCTATAGGTTAATGAATAGTTTTATGTAGGTCAATGAATAATTTCATATAAAGAAATGAATAATTCATTTTATCATGCATGATGAAAACATTTAAAATAAAATTAAGATTCAGTAATGACATAAATAACTCTTCTAAGTCAATAAATAATTTTATATAAAAAAATAAATAATTTTAATAGAGAATTAGGGAGATGAAGAATGATAAAGTAATTTTTCTATACATTTTAATTTTACTTCAGTAACTCTGGTTTGAAATAAATTTTTAAAATTTAAGAATCTTTTCTTTAATTTTTATTAAGTGTGATTAAGGAATCTTAAATGAAAATTTTCTTTAAGAAGCTGTGAGTCGCGGGATTGATGTGATGGAAAAGGAAAGCGTAATGGTGCTAGCTTAGAAATTTGTTCTTAAATTTGTTTTCTCCATGAAGCAAAGCCTAGGGTTATGTGCAGAAATACTGAGAAGTACGAGGGTCCACAAATGTCAGAAACTCAGGCCAGCCCTGGAATCGTGAGTTTCCGTGCGGTCACGCTATGCAAAGTCCGCATCATCACCATAAATGGTCTGATACAACTTCCATCAACTGCCATCTCCATGCGTGCTCATCTCCAAGCTCTCCATTTCAGCTTAAAATAATTTCTACTCTTCATTGAAATTAATTTTTAAATATTTTTAATATTATATGTATTAAAATAAAAAATAAAAATTTAAAAATTTTAATAAATTTGTTAATTACCAATACAATTCCCATCTCCACCTAATCTAAGAAGAAAAAGAAGTTAGGTTTGAAAACCTAACCATTAATTTTAGTGAAAGAAACTAGTTTAATATAATGAAACAAGATTTAAATTCTCATTAAAAAAAATATTTATATTTAATATTTAACTGTATTTTAAATAAAATCGTCCCAAAAAAAAAGTTAGGTCTTCAAAATTTAATTAATAATCAATGAAATAGAGTAGGGCTCTCACCAAATTTTGTGATAGATGAGCTAAAAATAATAATTTAAAATTATAATTATAAATAAAATATTTAAATTATAAATACAACTCTCAAATTGTTACGGATTGTTTTTTTTATATATCTCTATTTGATATTTTCAATTTTTAAGAAAAATTTATCAAAAATCAAATTGTTATTAATTTAATCTTTTGAAACTTTGATTGAAAACTGCCATTTCTCCATCTTTAACACCCATCAGTTTATAGTATATTCCCTTCATCTTACATATGAGTTACTTCTAATTACATCACTGAAACTAAGAAGATGTAGTTAAATTAAATATTGATATTGTTTGGAAAAATTTCATATTTATCATTATTAAATGCATCCTCTTTAAAAATGTTTTCTTTCTTATATGTAGTAATATTTTATTCTACTCATGAGAAGAAAACAACTGATGACTCCAAATATTTTTATATGTTGTTAGAGAATTTTGGAATCAATTTAGAGTCATTTAAGTAATTTTGAAGGAAATGAAACTATCATATAAGGACAATAATTAAAAAAAATGCTTTTGAAGATGAGAAGGGAGAGTTGATAGCATTCTATTGAAATGAATTAGTTACTTGAGCTAAAATTACAATAATGATATTATATTGTGCGTAGGGCGGTTCAAATTAGGAGTCAAAAGCCATAAGTAAAGATTGAAGATAAAGTAAAGAAAAAAGAAAGAAAGAAATTTATGCCATAGCATATTTGCATTGCACCATAACATGATTCTTTGGTCATACAAAAAAGCCAAGACCATTTATGCCACAATGTTTTTGCAGCATGCTAGAGCATAATAGCCAAGGACAATAACAAAATGGTCTTATGCCACAACATAATATAAATGTGTCGTAGCATAATCATCATTTAATGAAACACGCTACTTTGTTGAAAACTAACATTTTTAGAGTTTTGAAGGTTGGAGCTCGACATTCTTCATCTCCAATAACCAAGGAACATCCAAGAGAGAGCAAAGAAGCCATGGATGAGGTGAAATTTAGGTTTCATGAGAGATTAGTGGGTTTCATCTAAAATCACTCCAATTAAACTTTTATTATCCTTCTCTTCTTTGCTTAGATGTATGCTTTACAGATTTTTGTTATGTTTGGAGCAATGTGTGGCTAATTCTCCTTAAACCTAGAAGAGCTATGAACTTATTCATGGATTAGACTTTTTTTTACCTATTGGTTATGCTTAATGTTGATTCTTGATTGCTCAATCTTGTGTTTGAATGTTCATTTAATGCTTGGTCACCATTAAATATGATTTTAGATGTTGGGATTTTTTCTTGATAAAGGAAAATCTTGTTGAAACCATTAAATTGGGTAACATGGGATTGAATTTTTGTCTAATATATATATATATATATATATCTAATTATCCCATATTATTATGTTGCTTTTTACATTAGGGGTTTGTTGGATTAAGAATTTCATTACATTTTATTAAATTCACTTTTTTTTATTTTTACTCAATCAAATCCAATTTCTTTTACTTAATGTAAAAGACAATGAGAACTCTATGGCTTGATCATTATTTTGTTTAATTTTTCATGGGAATGACTTTGATACACTAATATATTACATCAAGATTCATGCAGTTGTGATGTAACGATTTATGTCCATCAATAATCATTGATCTATCTTTTTTTATGTAAAAGTAACTTATAAAAAGGATCATCAATAATTTTTAAAAATGACTTGCATATAAGACCAAAGGGAGTATGTCTTTTATAGTATTTACATACATATTGAGAAATACAAGGCAAAGGGATGCACTTGGTTATTTAATTTTGCACAAGATTTTATTTTAGTTCATTAATTTTTTATGAGTATCTTTTTAGTTTTTTTAACCTAACACTATTAGTTTCATTGAAAAACATTAGCATTAAACTTTTGAATGTTAACAGAACATTATCAAATGTTGATATATTAAATTTAATTTTTTTAAAATAATAACAATTGATGCAAAAAATCATCCTATAATACCTAAGTCTGCCCAAAAGTACCAAAGTAATTTAGACTTCATTTTTTGGGGGGGGTACAATTTAGACTTAATTTTTTTTGGGCAGAAACTTAGTAAATTTTTTTTTTTGGATATCAACTAAATTAATTGCTGACATGTCAAAGCTTTAACGAGTTTGACCCAGTAGGCCTAGTTTGGCTCATTTTGGCCAAAAGATGTGTCTCTCTGTTTGTAAGTTGTAAGTCTTTTGACTTTTATATGCATATTATTTAATTTGTAAATGTACTAAGGCTAAAAAATTTCAGTGCACTAGCTACTTAAAAATATCATGCTTGTTTGAAAATTTGTTTTA